GGTCAAGTTCTACTTGGCAATACCAGATATGGAATGAAGAATTCTAACCACTATGCTATACTCTGCGGGTGCATCTAGACTGGCAAGATTTTTGCGCGCAAAAACTTGCCAGCGGTCTACACTGGCTGCTTGAATTTGCACAAGAGCACTGACTTTGTAATGTACAAAATCAGTGCTTCTTGTGCAAATAGTTTCACGCTTCCGCTCAGGGATAAGCCCTCTTGCGCAAGAATACTTGCGCAAGAGGGCCAGTGTAGACAGGCACCTTAATTATTTGCGCAAGAAAGCCCGATGGCTAAAATGGCCATTGGAGCGTTCTTGCGCAAAAGCGCGTCTAGATTGGCATGGATGCTTTTGCGCAAAAGCATCCTTGCCAATCTAGACGCTCTTTTGCGGAAATACTTTTAACGGAAAAACTTTTCCGTTAAAAATATTTCCGCAAAATCATGCCAGTCTAGACGCAGCCTGCCTGTTGAAGCACGAGAAGGGATCAGAGCAGATTCAGTGGTGCTCAGAAGGTACATTTTATGTCTTAAAAGACAATCCAGTCAACTCCTGAGGGAAAACAAAGATACAGATTAAGACATACACACCCTTTCGATTTCTTTCATTAGGTAGTTTGCTGAGGTTCTGTCTTGGAAACTGCAGTGAAGATCCTTTTGAAAACTTATTCTGGATACCTTCTTCTTTACTATCACGTAAAAAATGAGCTAGAATTCCATACAAGAGAGGTCTGTTAAAAGAGACACAACAAAGTAGAGTACATAGAAAATGCTGAGCATAAGAATTTTTCCACTTTTTTTCAAAAAACAAAAAGAATCCTAGAACAGGAAAGGCCACTTAGTCCTCAATACTGGTTCCTAGAATGTGTACAGACAGACGTCTTCAGCATAACTATTTCCTAAACACTATGTTTCTTAACTCAAGTTTTACAATTCCTGTGTCTACATCAGGCATGTCCAAAGTCCGGCCCGGGGGCCAATTGCGGCCCGTGTTCCGGTTTAATACGGCCCCACGGGTAATTTGGCAATATCTATCTTTTATGGCCCCCAACGAATCCATATGTATTGAGATGAATACATTGTAAAATCTCAGTTAAAGTCAGTTGGTCTAAATCAGTTATAAATATATTTGGACACAACATGTATACTTGGTGTTATGTTCCTGTTCATATTTTTTGAACTTAAAAGTTGACAGACAACCTTTATTACCAATAATATGTAATGTACTTTACAATGTTCCTGACATATATTTCAGCTTCCTGGATTTTTTTTTCATCTGGCCTTCAGATATGAAAGGCAGAGTGATTTAACACCTGTTTAGATTTGTCATCCATGTGACGAAATGAAAAGTATGCCGTTTGTAATAAACTTTGCATAAAATAGTTACTTTGCATTTAATTTTAATGGTTCAAAGAATGTCAGGCAAAATGGTCGGCCCTCACGCATGTTCACTTCATCAAATCTGGCCCTCTTTGAAAAAAGTTTGGACACCCCAGTCTACATTATTTAGCTTAAAAATGTCAGAGTTTGTAAACAAAAACAAATTAACGTAACATATATTCCTAATTTTATAAAAAGCAACTCCTATTTGATCATCTTCCTTCATAGGATGTCCTAAATCAGGAGAAATAAAAAGCTATCCTATGATTTTTTTATTCATATACGAAAATTAACAATACCCAGTACAGTTAAACAGTCATTTAATTGGCTTCTGAACGTCATGTGAAGGAGCACCACACAAAGTCACATGGAAATCTCAAAGCACATTTTCACAACTGCTTTTGAGTTGGTTGAAAGACGTGTGGAAAAATCCAAGTGAAATAAATTTCTAAAAGGATTGTGTGACACTTGCGCGTTGTGGTACTAATATGCAATCTGGAGACTACCACAAACCAGACAGAAATGTTCAACATACACAATGAGCATCTGAAATACGTAAGTTACTACACAATTTGGTAAGATGCTTGTGCAGAGCAGAATTATATCCTTTGAGCATGAAATGTAAGCCAGTTCCACGAAAGACAATTTTCACGTCTCCAAGACTTAAGACTGTAAATAGAACTTACACCGGTCTTAAATGAATATTACAAAAGGCACAGAAAATGTGGTGTATTACATAAGAATGGCCACACTGGGTCAGACCAAAGGTCCATCTAGCTTAGTATCCTGTCTAACAACAGTGGCCAATAGGACAGAACACAACAGGTAATCATCATGTGATCCCTTCCCTGTCATCCATTTCCAGACAAACAGAGGCTAGGGACACCATTCCTACCCATCTTGGCTAACAGCCATTGATGGACCTAACCTCCATGAATCAATCTAGCTTTTTCGAACCCTGTTAAAGTCCAAGTATACTGTTGAGTAGAGTGTACTATGCTTTCAAATAATTAGAGCCCTGAGTGGATATAAAATTTATATCTGCACTTGTATCCATAAAAATGGTGCACAGATATCTGTATTGACATTTGCAGATGCAGATAGTCACTTTATATCTGTGGGTATCTCCAAATTTACAGGGTTCTAGATAGGAAATTTATATCCCCATCCTTAGTCACAAAAATGAGCTGCAGATATCTGCATTCACATCCGCAAATGCAAATATCTATGGATAAAAAGTGGATATACATAGGTTTGCTCTACAAGCCTACAAACAATCTACTTACATTGATCTTCTATTTGGATCTTCCGCTATATTAAGTTCACGAGCAAGAAACTGTCTATCCAATGGTACTTCAGGTTGACCAGATTCTGAAAAGTAAAATATTTTAAATGTTTTCCTAAAGTTCTTACATTAGCAAACTTCTTGTTTATCTTTTACACTCTCGAGTCTGTAGAGCAACAGCAGAATACACACGTTACCTTTAACATATATTCCATTATCTATTGCCATGATGACACTAAGTCCAATAGTACTTGGGATTCCAATAATAAACTTTAATAATTATCCTCTACTATAAAGTTCTATTAAAGAAAAACATTCATAACGTCATTTTAAAATTAAAAACATTTGGGTAAGTTAAATTCCCCCCCATAGGGATACTTTTATAAATATCCAGCTGATTCTTCATATAATGGAATCCACAAACTCCTTCCTCCTTCCCAATCAAAAGACTAATGGACATTTCTGTGCATTTAAAATAACCTTTAAGAGAATGTTGACTCTGAAGGATAATATCACAATGAGTACAAATATCAAAATAGCTCTTTACTTGAATAATTACTGCATCTTTCCAGTTTAAGTATTATTAACACAATTATAGCATGTTACATGTCTTGCACACTACATTTCAAGCAGGCAACAGCAGCAACAGAGGACCTGTACAAATGGGTACAAATATGTAGGGTAGTGATTTATTTTATGAAAAGTCTAATTAAGCAAAATAGCTATCATGCTAATATTTGAAATGTAACCAACAGCATTAAAGTTTAGCTGTAACTGTTCAAATATCGTGAATTACTTTTTTTTTGCCCTGAATCCTATGTTTTGCTGAATACATCTAACTGAGACCTGGGTGCAATTAGGTAGCATATTTAAGAGTACTCCAAGACATAAGACTGCCCTCCACCTAATTTGAAGTGTTAATGTACTTTGGACCAATTTTGTTGACACCCGATTGTTCATCCTTCATTTATACTTCCACTTAGCACTTGACGAAAAATGGAAATATAAGTGGGACTGTACACTTGAAAATATTCATTCCCATTTCAGTAAATATTTAGATGTTTCAGTGTTGGCAGTTTACATTCCATAGAGACTTTGTGCATCATGTCGGATTGGATTTAAGTGGCAACAATATTTCTCCACCCCCTACTAAAGGCTGTTCATTGTTGCTTTAGAAAGCAATCCTCTCTTGTCCTGTGCATCAATTGCTAATCAAAGCATTTACCTTCTGGTGAAGAGCCTGGAAAGATACTTAGAGACTAATTATTTAGCCTGATTCCTGAGGGAAGAGAGATAGACTTATCTTCACCTCATTTATCTCCACTAACCTTAACAAGATAAGCTGGGGACAAGGGAGGGAGAGGGAAAGTACGCACTAGAACCCTGAGGACTTACTGACTTATGTCATTGCTATATAATACGATCTGATTTCTTGAGCTTATCCGGCTATTATCCATTAAGGTAAAGATTGAAACAAAAGCAGTTGAAGCCAGTAAGCCAACCCAATACCTGCTGTTAGAACAGATACGCTGTATTTATATTTATTGTATTCCAAGTATTCACGAATTAGTTCATTGATTAGAAGATTTTCATGAGACAGTGGTGGCCTTGGTTCACTTTGGTCATCCAACGCATTAAAAACTTCAGCTCTGATCCTTGCTTTTATTTGTCCCAGTGCACCTCTCTTTTCCAATGTGTCCTTGAGTACTATTGAATACACACAGAAAAAAAAAATCAATTTCTATTATCGCACATAGTCCTAAGCTTAATATTCAATACGAACCCCAAGAATCAGTTATTTTATGTAACAATCATTTTTAAAAGTCAGTTGTCCAAACTATTTGGAATGCTGGTTAATGAGGAAGAGGAAAAAAATGTATGAGATGTCAAGTATAGACAAGGCTACTGGCTTTTTAAGCACATTGTTGATTAGACAATCTCTGATCAAAGCCGGACAGTATTTTTAATTTCATGTTTTCAGACAAGTGTATACACATTTCCCGTGTTGCCAGAACCAGTAAGAATTTTTTTTAAAGTGTTTAGTATAGTAAAGGCCAATATGTACTCACATTGTATCTAATTTAGGTATTAAATATTGGCTGGTGAGCAATACTCAGCAGTGCTACCAATCAAGTGTTCAAAATTATGAGTTAGGGTCCAAAACTAATGATAATATTGATTAAGAATACATTTGAGTGATATTTAATAAGTTCTATGTATTTGCTTTCTGGTGTTTCTGATGAACACCAAACAATTTTTTTTATGATGAACACCAAGGATTTTTTGTTGAGAGAAAAAAAAAGCTCACCTTTTGAACACTCAACAACAATATTGGCTCACTGTCCTGCAAAGTCTTCTAGACTTCTGCCTTTTTCATAGAGAAATGTAATTTACTCAGTTTACTCATCTTGGTGGAAATTATACATTCAATACCTTATCAAGCACAGGTTAATGTCAAACAGCTGGCCAACAGCAGCCATAGCAGCCACACCAGCATTAGGGGCACTGAGGGCCTTACCCTGCCCCCCAAATCACAGTGGGTCCCTTAGTGCTTAATGTTTTGTCCTTCAATAGCTCTATCCCCGGCTCTGCTGTTTTTGACACAGAATACTGAATGCCTTGTCTGTGCAAGAGGGTGGAAGGTCCGGCCCCCCCTCCCCAGCTGTCCCGGGTAACAAGCGAGGGCTAAAGACAGCAGTGCAAAGACCCAGTTGGGGTGGCAGCTTTAGGGCAGTTCTCTCCCCTGGCAGGCAGGATCCCCAGACCAGCAGCGGAGACAGCCAATCACAGCCGGCCCTGCTGCTGGCCCTGCAATGCTCCTCCCTTCTGGCAAGGGGCGCAACTGAGGGACGGAGCTTTCCCAGGCGGTTGCGAGCCAGGCGCAGAAGCATGTGAGGAACGTGGGTAGCCCTGCCTCATTTCCAGCTGTGTCACCACTTGCTCATCTCTTCGCACCACCCACTGCATGTCAGTAGCTCTCGCCACCATTTTTTTCTTCAAATGGCCACGGTACACCTGTGAGTTCTCCGCAGAACACAGTTTAAGAAACAAGGATCTAGATACATTTTCAGCAATTTAAATTACCAAATGGAAGGCTGTACTTCCTTTATTTTTCTAAAGAAAGATGAACTCATTTGTTCATATAAACATGCTGATTTACAACTAAAATAGAGTGCACACACAAATAGAATAGGGATGTAATAGTGTAGTTGATTAACCAATAAGCAAAAGCTTATAGGTTAATACTATAGACTACATGCATTTAGACTCCCTCCCCCCCACCAGTAAATTTTTTAGCAGGCTGACTTACCCCTGCTGTGGCTCTCCTTTTAAAGTATATAAGGAACCAGGCAGGCAGACAGCCCAGCTCAGTCACAACTCATGCCAGGTCCGGGAGCTCAGACCTCCCCAGGATAGGGGAGGCTGCCACCCTGCACTGCTTCCTTTGTATCAGAGGCAGCAGCGCTGGGAGACAGCCAGCCGATCCACAGGGGGGAACTTTTTTTTTAAAACTGGCTCCCCTCCTGGACCAGCTCCTGCCTGGCCCCACATGCTGCTGCCTCTGATACAGAGGCAGCAGCACAGTGAAAGAGAGCTCCTCAGCAGTGAGGCCAGAGCACATTGGCTGCTGGCCCTGCCCCCAAGAATAGTCAAGTATCCAATAAGAATTCATCAGGTTAATCGACTATTCAATTAACCGATATTTAACATTCCTAAAATAGTGTTCGATAAATTTCCTTGCTGCTTGGGAGATATACAATAATTCTATGCATTTATGCAATTATATAGCTTACGATTTTCAGACTCCTGACTGGGTGAATATCTTGCTAGATAATTACTAGATAATTAACTTTTTGCTCAAGCTGTATTAGGTTGCAAACTGAAATTACATGCAAGCATATACTTTTTTTTACTTACAACCTTAAATGTGTGGCATACATGTTTTCATCAAAATGTATTTTACATTTACAACTCAATGATTTATTAAAGAAACAGGGATTAACCGTAGTCAGCCAATTAAATTGATTTTATGTCAGCCTGGTAAATTTTTCAATATGCCAAAGTGAGTGACTGGAGCTTAAAGTCCTGTTTGCCTAAATCTCTTGAAAAGGAGACTGTTCATCTTACTTAGGCTGTCTTTCAAACTTGAGGGGTACAACTCCTCCTTCCCTCATTTTTATTCACTCCTCCATTTTTCAACTTTGAATTAGTCCAAATGAAGAAAATATACTTTGTACCTGCAAGAGACTACTACTGTCAAAAGCTGGTTTAGCTCTTCAGCGAGCTGTTTCAGGAGATTAGCTATCATTTCCATCACTACTGTGGCATGACTGTCTTTAAATCAGAAATCAGCTCTGAAATTTATTATGGTTAGCATGACTGATGGGTGATTATTAGAGTCCCATGTCACAGCCACATATTAGTATTCCATCTATAGTATTTTGTCACTATTTGCTTTACAAATTGTCATAAGAAAAGGCCTGTTCTTAATATAAACCACTGAATTCCATCTTACATCTTGGGGGAGAATTAGCTTGGATCCTCTTGCTATTTTCAGTGAAGCTGAAGCAAACAAGCTTTGTTCCCATGTTACAATTTACAAGTTCCCTCCCTTTTCTTCAAGATTTCTTCTAATCTCAGCAACAAAGCTATGCACTTCACACTCAAATTTCTGTTTCTTATCTCTTACTGCTGCTACATTTAAGCATTTCCTGATGGACTGACTGTAGAATAGGCATCCTTCTACTCCAGGGCCACTCAACATGCAGCCCATATGCAGTTGCGTTTACAGAAGGCTCAACACAAGGCCCTCAGGTGAGAGTCAAAACATAAAAATAGTCAATATAATGGTCTTCTGTTGATATGAGTTTTAGTAGTTAAATTCCTGGACTGTTATTGCTCATTAAAAGAGCTGTCATATGGGTGGAAATCAGGTAAATATTGCATTTTATTAATATCAGCAGAATGGTTTTAAAGGGGGCCCGTGTTGTGTAGTCTTGCTTTAATCTTTGTATTCATGTCCACATGAAATAAGATATTTGCATATATATGCAACCACACTTAAGTTGCAGCCCTCGGCATGTACAGCGAGTATCACTGTAGTCCCCAGGGCTTCCAAAGTTGAGTAGCCCAGTTCTTCTCTGTTGCCACACAAGCACATATTACCACATAATTTTGTGCATTACTCCACCCATCCAAACAGAGATTAACAAAGTTCCCATCAATGTTTTTTTTCCTTCTGTTTAATTTCCTTCTCCTACATAGTATGCAACCTGCCAGCAACATCTGTTTTACCAGGTGGCAGTAGCCTGGTTAAGACTGATGAAATGGTTTGCCTGAACAGAATGAAAGGGATAATTTACTGCATAATGAACTGAGCAATATTTTCATCTATGGTGATAGAAATGTAGCCATGTTAGTCTGGTGTAGCTGAAACAAAAAACAGGACTATGTAGCACTTTAAAGACTAACAAGATGGTTTAATAGGTGATGAGCTTTCCTGGGCCAGACCCACTTCCTCAGATCAAATAGTGGAAGAAAATTGTCACAACCATATATACCAAAGGATACAATTAAAAAAGGGAACACATATGAAAAGGACATACGTATTGCACTTTAATTTGCTGGCCCGAATTATGATTTTCTCTTTGATTTTATTGGATGATAGAGCCTGTTGATAAGAGGTAGTTCCTGCCAGCTGTAGGTTTAACTGCAGCATGACAAGAGTGAAACCACAGGAAAAGGAGGTTCGCGGTAGCTCAACCAACAGGCGGAAAACAAGCAGGACTTTATCAGAGGGGCATCCGCAAAAACAACGAGTCGCCCTGGGAGCCCCGGTCAGATGGATGCGCGCTCGCGCTCGCGTGGGAAGCAGAACTCTGCCTTGTTTCCGGCTTACGGGAGTTGCTGGCACCGGCTCCTGGTTTGTTTTAGGGGCGGAAGGAGACTGACGGGTCCGGGTCAACAGTCCCAGGCTGCACGCACAGGGAGCCGCCCAGGCGCAGAGAACGGGGCTTGAGGGGTCATCTCGCCTTCCCTGGCTTGCTCTGGAAGCCGGGGCAATATTTATTACTTCATCGTTGACGACAGCGGGGCCCAGTCCACGACTTGCCCCCACAGCATGAGGCAACGCGCAGCACCGCCTCGCCCCGCCCGTCTCTCACGGCGAAGCCCCATTTCCGCTCTGGAAACCGGGTCCGCCCGGGCCATGGGACTCCAGCAACGGCAGCCCGGCCGCACACGCAGGCCCAGCGCCCTCCAGAGAGAGCACCGCAGCTCCCCGCGGGCAGCCATTACCTGCTTTCAGCTCGGCAATGGTCGCCATCTTCCAACGGCCACCGAGACTCCGCCCCGCAGCGGTGAAAGGCCCGGATGAATGGTGGTGGCTGGACCGGGTCCGCCCGGGCCATGGGACTCCAGCAACGGCAGCCCGGCCGCACACGCAGGCCCAGCGCCCTCCAGAGAGAGCACCGCAGCTCCCCGCGGGCAGCCATTACCTGCTTTCAGCTCGGCAATGGTCGCCATCTTCCAACGGCCACCGAGACTCCGCCCCGCAGCGGTGAAAGGCCCGGATGAATGGTGGTGGCTGGCAGCGGTCACGCCGCGCATGCGTGCTGTGCTCGCAGCCCCGACAGAGGTGGAGCGGAAATCTTTCCGCCTGTGCCCTGAGCCAGTCAGGGGGCGTGGCCGCTGGAGCGTTCTGAAGCGCGGGCGGGGCGCGTGTAAATTCCCATGTCTTGGCTGCACTGTGCGCGTTTGGGTGTTTGCTCTGTTTCTCTGTTATGCAAAGCGGTTACAAGTAATCTCTTCAGGAGGAAGGGAGAGAACCCTCTGAGAGGTGCAGGGGAGAACAAGGAAGGAAGCCTTTCTCTTTGAGGAAGAGAAGAAAGGTGTGAGGGAAGGCCCTTTCAGGGGTGAAGGAGAAGAAAACTTCTAGAATTATGCCTTTTAAAAAAAAAAACACACTTGATTATATATGCACCATATTAAGTCATGGTGATTAAACAACCCGGCTGTGTCTAGACTGGCAAGTTTTTCTGCAAAAGTTTTTGTGGAAAAACTTCCCCGCTGTCTACACTGGCCCTTGAATTTCCGCAAGAACACTGACTTCCTACTGTCTGAAATCAGTGCTTCTTGCAGAAATACTATGCTGCTCCCGTTCGGGAAAAGGCCTTTTGCGCAAAGCCAGTGTAGACAGATCAGATTTGTTTTGCGGGAAAAAGCTCCGATCGTGAAAATGGCGATCGGGGCTTTTTTGTGCAAAAGCGCGTTTAGTTTGGCCACGGATGCTTTTGCACAAAAACGCTTGCGGAAAAGCATCCGTGCCAATCTAGATGCTCCTTTCCGCAAATACTTTTAACGGAAAAGTTTTCCGTTAAAAGCATTTGCGGAAAATCATGCCAGTCTAAACGTAGCCCCCTAGTGACTATTCATTTTGTGGGGGTTTTTTTTGTTTATATTCTTTATTTGGGTGTCTGTCCACATATGTAGTCCTTGGTACCATTTAGGGATGTAAATGTCTTTCAGTCTTTCAGAATTCTCCCCTCTTTGATGCATCTTGAGAATCTCACGCTAAGTGCTTTAAAAGTGTATCACCTTCTGCACAAAGTTTTTCTATGTGTACTTGGTCTAAACCTGATGCTCTTCCCAACTTCATCTTCTGAAGGGCTGCTGCCACTTCTTCACAGAGCACATAAGGTTCAGGGGTGACGGAGCCCAGGTATAATGGCTCCACTGTTGTTGCTGATGAAAATAGCTCACTATAAAAGAACAGGCAAATTTGTTCCATTTCACATCTGTTTGTCATTTTACTACTGTTTTTGTCAACAAACGTGCTTGGAAGAGTTTGGCTTAACTGGATTTCACATTGAGTTCTTTGCAAACTCGTTTTCTCTTCAACTGCCATTTGCTTTTTCGCAAGCCGATACTGCTCATAATCATCTATCATCTTTTTTCTCAACATTTTATAGACGAACTTATACTCCAGGCTGGTATTGCCCTTGGCTGCCATGTCTCTCTGCTTGGCAAGAAGATCAAGTGTTTGCTGGGCAATATGATTCCTGGATTTCTATGGCTTCTTCACAGTGGCAGCAGTTTTACGTTTGTCCAACTTCACCAAAAAATGATAGTAATTGGAATCAATATATTTCATTCCAGCCATTTCCTATGACTCAGAGTCAACAGCATACTTAAACCGACCTGAGCAGAACTATTGTCCCCACATGCAATGTCTAACACTGATAAGGACATTAATATTTCTAGAACAAAATTTTCCAGAGAATCGTGGGGTGGGGGTTTTTGTTTTTAACAATTTGAGAGAAAAGAAAATTCTAGGATTTTTCCCTGTGGAACACAAATCCTGAGTTTTGACTAGCTCTAGTGTTAATGATTTATAGCAGACTGTTTATTTCAGATTAGAATGTAGGAAATTATTGGCAGTGTAATGGTCCACCGAGTCCAAGTACAGGGGAGAGATAATAAAATATTTGATGGTGAACAACTAGATTATGAAAATTAGGTAAGTAGGCAACCTGGACTAAGGAGAATGTAGCACTTTAAAGACTAACAAGATGGTTTATTAGATGATGAGCTTTCGTGGGCCAGACCCACTTCCTCAGATCAAATAGTGGAAGAAAGTAGTCACAACCATATATATCCAAGGATACATATGGTTGTGACTACTTTCTTCCACTATTTGATCTGAGGAAGTGGGTCTGGCCCACGAAAGCTCATCATCTAATAAACCATCTTGTTAGTCTTTAAAGTGCTACATTGTCCTGCATTTTGCTTCAACTACCCCAGACTAACACGGCTACATTTCTATCACCCTCCTGTACGGGGCAGGGAGCCAATGCTCCCTCCCGCAGTACACCCGGCCGGCAGAGCAGCTAGAGCACTTCTGGAATTGCCGGAAGTGCCGCTAAGCTGCGGGACTTCTGAAGCTGACACTACCTCCGTTTTCTCTTGAGGTAAGTAGTGGGGCTTGTGGGGGGGGGGAGGGAAATGGAGGCGGGGCGGACAGGACGCCTCGCGAGCGACTGGTCGAGGCCTCGAGATCGACCAGTATCTCGCGATCGACCTGTTGGTGACCACCTAGCTGATAAGCAAAAAACAAAACAACTGCTCTGGTAGCACTTTATAGACTAACAAAACATGTAAATGGTATCATGAGCTTTTGTGGGCACAGCCCACTTCTTCAGATGACCAGAGTTATGTGTTTAGGATGTGAACACCCAAAATAGGAGAGGGGAGGGGAGAAAAAAGGGGGCGGGAGACAGGGAGCTAGAGGGAATCAGTAAGTATTTGAAAATTGGGTAGTTAAAACAAAGCAGCTAATAATCAAAGTCAATACATAGTATTCTTCCTAACATAAGAGTCTACACCAGTGGTCCCATGGCGCCTGCCAGGCCATTTCTGTGCGCCTGCCGAGTGAACGGGGCTGGCCCTGCCCCCAAGCGCACGGGGCAGTGCCAGCCCTCTGGGCGCACGGCATATGGGCAGCGTCAGCCCCGGGCGCGCAGCACATGGGTGGCCCCGCCCCCGGGTACGCAGCATTTGGGTGGCCCTGGCCCTGGGTGCGTGATGCAAGGGCAGTACCAGCCCCAGGCACGCGGCATATGGACAGTGCCGGCCCCGGGCGTGTGGCACAGGAGCAGCCCCAGCCCCCGTGCACAGCACATGGGCAGTGCCAGCCCCGGGCGCATGGCGTTTGGGCAGTCCCACCCCCGGGTGCACGGTGCAAGGGCTGTGCCGGCCCTGGGCATGCGGCATATGGGCGGTGCCGGCCCTTGGGCACGCAGCACAGGGGTTGCACCGGCCCTAGGCGTGCAGCACAGGAGCGGCACTGGCCCCGGGCATGCAGCACATGGGCGGTGGTGGCCCTGCCCCCGGGCATG